GGCTATGAATTTGTTCTGCCATGCCTTTTTTCGAAATCCAGAGTTTTCCAAACAGTTTCCCACATGGGCTTTAATCCAGCTGTTAACTTGGATGGAATGCAATAAAGATACATAACATTGTGCAAATTAAACCTTATAAATGATACATTTACATTGGTTGAAGCTTTGAAATACATGCTTTTTATTAAGAGCTGAGGTCACTGGCCTTTTCCCCTGCTGTTATACACCTAGGGAACTGTTGATAACAGTTTCTCCCTGGTTCACTGCAGACAGCATTTCAGTACTGTATTAAGTATATATTTCATCTCAGTGACAAACTAACATCAAAGGATGCTCAAGGATTACTCAAAGAAGAATATGTGGCTTGGCAAGAATTCATATAAGGATGCATTTAAATTTATCTGAAAAGTCTGGGCAGAAAGAACATTATAGAAGAAAAAATACTAGTTTTCTGTCCCTAACATAATTTTTACAGTAGCTAAAGGCAAGTTTAGGCAGTGGCCTCAGAGGAGCCTTGCATTTTGTCACTGACACTTCATCTTACCCTGAAACAGTGGGGATATGATAAGAACCAGATGATATAAATTTATTAACCAAACTCAGTGGTTCATATTGTCTGGGAAATAACTGGCCTAAATTCTGTAACAATGCTGTAGTCCAACAAGAGTTGAACTGCATTTTTCACTGTTTATATTGCTGTTTAATCTAGGAAATATACTGGGTGCTTGAAAAAAAGGACTTCAGCAGCATTTTACTGAATGAGGAGGAAGACTGGGTGCCTCAGAACCAGAGGAGAAATTAAACCACATGATCTGCATTTATATACACATTCTTCTGTGTGACACTGACAAATAGTTGGATTCTGTAGGGCTAGCAATGTTCCAAACATAATTTTAAATTCAATTCCAATATGGAACTAAGATTTCTTTTCTTGAGGTTGAACTTCTTTTACAGACCTCAGGACATGAACAGAGGTCTTGCTGCTCTTCATTCTTCTCCATCTGTGCACCTACACACCTGTGTACACATACACATTTAAAAGAAACCTGGTTCTTATCAGGGATGCAGCTCCTAAATGTTCAGGTAGCTGTTGTGATTCAAGGATGTGTTATACTTGTATTCTAGATAGTCTAAATGATTTCTGTGTACTGTAGGCAGAAAGGGTAGGAAACACCACTGAATATAATGTGAATTCCTGACAATTCTTTAGTAAATTCAGAACTTACTATTAAACATTGAAGCTGGATCTTTTGAAGTATCAGATTGGACCTAGCTCTATTAGTCATATTTGATTATGTCAGATTACTTTTGTTTGTATTATGAAAAGTCCTTTGTTTGAACTGTACTTTAAAGCCTTTTTTTTTTTTACTTCTGTAAGCATCTTCGCCTGAATACCCTACCTACTGACAGTGATTTCATTTTTCAAACATGATCCTTTTTTCTTTCTGGTCAAATAACACAAGGCATTCTTCATGTTTCTCACTGGACAATTCTTTGGGAGTCCTCTTGCCCATTCCCACAGCAGCTGAGGTATTGGAGTGGTAGATGCAGGATCACCATCAGATTAAGATGTATATATTAAGATAGTAAGGGTTAAAGGAAAATCTGGTTTTGATTAGTGCTAGCATATATATTTGTTTATTTAGGTCATTGGTTTAGGTCATTGTGTAAGGGTGACACTTCTGACTTGATACTTTTGATGTCAGGGCCTCATGAGTTTTGTCTGGATAAAGGAATAGGTTTTTCCTGGGAAACTCAGTCTGACATCCACCTAGAATGGACAGAAGGGATAAGGAAGGTCTTCTGATACCAGCAACAGGGCATAATGAGCCTTGATTATTGTCTGTGCATTTTGCTTCTTCGACATACACTGGCGTTTTGAGGACCACTAATATGGAGTACTTCCAGCAGAGGTAAAAGACTTTTTCTGTGATGCAACTGTTATTTAAAGAAAGATTTAAGTGGTGACAGCTTTACTCTTTTCAGCTTTAAGGGCATATACTCCCCTCTACTTTTTTTTCTTTTTTCACATTTTTTGTTTCTTCTCTTTACTCTTTATGACAGGAACTTCAGTGCTTTAAGTAAGTATTTAAGAGTTTTTCCACGGCAGAACTCTTGAATGCTACTTCAATGTAAGATCTTAAGTTTAGTTCATTTTGTCAAAAGTGGGTAGAGAATACCTACCAATATAATCTACTTTTGAAAAATCTAGGCTAGAAAATGAATTCTTAGCTAGTAATTGTATATATATATCCTCTGAAGCTGGAATAAATCTGTAACAAACAGTTTTCTTCCAATTTGAAATGACTTTTTGGGTATTGCTAGAATTTCAAGCTCAGTCTTAAGCATGTAGCTCACAGGAAAGAAAACACTCTACTTTCTTTAACATTAAACATTGATGACATTGAAATGGATTATGTTTATTCCACTTGTTAACAGAGAACTGGGAACCTGTTCCAGGTTGAGATCACATGTTTGTTGGGAATATATAGGTCTTAAAGCAAATTTTGGAATGCAAATATTAGGCTCACAGATCTCCTCTGGGTTGGATTAAAATTTATGTCAGAAAAACTTGGACCCATAGAATGTGTATTTGTGCTATGCCTTATGATTTGGGGTGGGGTTAGAGTGCTTGGTTCATGTGAGTTTACCTTGCAACCATTCTAAGTTATGCCTTTGGGCTTTCAACCAGGGGTGGATGACCAGATCTTGCACCCATCTGCAGTTTGAAGATATTTTTTTTCCTGTAAACTAGAATCACAAACATTTTAATTTTAAGAGAATAAAATTGCAAATATTCATTTTCATTTTATAAAAATTATTCTTCAAAAAACAGGTAAAATAGCCTCAGTAAGTTGTCATGTCTTCTCCTATCTCAAATGTGAATCTGGATACTGAGTCACATGTAGTCATAATCAGAATCTGATCACTTATGAAACTTTAATTTTTACATTTACCCTTGCAGTTGCTGTGTTATTTTTTTTGTTGTTGTTTTTGTATTTTAATAAGGGTAAGATAAAATGAGTGTGTCAAATAATTGTTACATACTCATTAGACAGGCACTGCATTATCTCTCACAGACTGAATTAATTTTCATTTTACTCATGAATAACAATATTCAAGGCTGGTATATTTCACCATATTTCATTACTACTAGTCAGCTTCACTGAAAATAAAATTATTTCAGTGTTGAGTTATCACTGTGTCCCAAATAATCCCTTAGTGTTGCCAGCAACCAGGTGGTCCTGGTTGACAGCACAGCATCACCAGCCAGGCAAGGGAAGGGATTGTCCTACTCTGCTCTGCACTTGAGTGGTCTCAGCTTGAGTCCTGGGGGCAGTTTTTGGGTGCCATAAGACATTAAACTTCTAGGGAGTTCCAAAAGAGGACAGTAAAGACAGTGAAGGGCCTTGAAAGGAGGTTACATGACAAGCAGCTAAGGTCAGTTCAGCCAGGAGGAGACTGAGGACAGACCTCACTGAAGTTACAACTTCCTTGTAAGGGGCAGAGGAGGGGCAGGCACTGATCTCCTCTCTGTGGGGCTCAGTGACAGAACCTGAGGGAACAGCCTGAAACTGTGTCAGGAGGAGTTTTGGACTGGATATCAAGAAGAGGTTTTATTGAGAGGTTAGCTGGACACTCTAACAGAGTCCCTGGGGACATGGTCACAGCACCAGCCTGACAGAGCTCAAGAAGTGTATGGACAGTGGTCTCAGACACATGGTGTGACACTTGCAATGCAGAGCCAAGAGCTGGACTCGATGATTCTGATGGGTACCTTCCAACTAGGTATCTACTATGATGCTGTGGAAGCTAAAGCTGACTGCTGTAACATGGGCCAGAGGTGATGCTTGCCAATGTTTCTCTATTTAAGCTGTGCCTTTAAAGTCTTCCTCATAGTGTTGTTTTGCCTTCTCATTAAAGTGCATTTAGAAGTGCGACTCACCAGGTGCTGGCCCATAGCATAGTTCAAGCTTTGAAGGAGAATACTGCCTATTTCCATCAGACACAGCCATTTTTTGCACAACTTTTCAAAATTAGTCAGTTTTTCCAGCAAAACCACATTGCACACTAGGGACAATATCTATCTAGATAGTTAAATCATTTGTGTCCTTACAAATCTATGTTTCTGCAGTGCATTTTCAGGAATGAAAATGAAATGCTGAGTACAGGTATGACTGCATTGTTTGAGGCAGGAAGTGCTGCCTGTTTATGACTTAATCCTTGAAGAGCTGAGCATTTCTGAATCCTTCAGTTCTACTTCTCTATGAAGTTGTTTGAGCACAGCCACTGGCAGTAAAAACAGCACCATCTGCACCCACTGCTGGTAACTCCTACTCTTCAAGGAATGTGCATTTTCTTTTTTAAGCTAAAAAACATTAGAGTTGAAACAGTTGGGCAAAGTTTGTCCAGCAACTTTCATAGACCTTTACACAGAGAAGCAATGATAGTGCAAATTCCTTATGGTGAGTGAATGAAATATATATATATATATATATATATATATGATATATATAATGATATATAGTTATATAGATTGCCTTTTCAGCACATTGATTCGCCATGTTCTGTTTCAGTTTTTCCTTAGTAGCATTTTGGAAGGCACCTTTCAACATGCCCGTTCATAGCTTCTAACACAGCAGCAAAATTTCACAGCACTCTGTCTAATGTCTATAATACTCCATTTCTTAATCAGAAAAAATCCTTTGTGTCACTGTTGTTCAAAGAGCTCTCTTATAGCAGCTTCACTAGCCTCAAACTGAGACAAAGCAGGATATTCAAAAGATGAAAGTGAATTCATACACCATTCACTACTAAGGAACTGGTTGTCAACCAGTAGACGTGCCAGAGAGGAGCAGATTTATTTAACTTATTCAGTGCTTTAAATAATCAGGATGATATCCAGTAAAAAGAGAAGTTAAACTAGAACAGTAATTATGATGCCTAAATATTTTTTCCTGAATTTTTTTTTTTTTTTGTCCTTTTCCCCCTCTCCTCAGAGCTCCAGAACAGCTCGCTCAGAGGAAGACCGAGACTCACTGTGGGATGCCTGGGGCTCGTGGAGCGAATGCTCACGCACCTGTGGAGGAGGGGCTTCATATTCACTGCGACGCTGCCTGAGCAGCAAGTAAGTGGCTGAATGTTTTTTTTTACTTTATTGATGGAAAAATTCAACCTATTCATATGTGTCAGACCATAAGAAGCAACCAGTGGAAGTCTTGACCTACACTGAAATTTCCATCTCAATGTCAAAAAATTATGGTGGTGTTTTTTTGTTTTTTTTATTTGGGCAAGCAGCCAACATGCTTGATAAGGCAACACCCTTTAAAATATAGCAAGAACCCATGGAGACAAAAAAGTGGTCTGGACAGGTTGAAAGGCTGCCAGCTCCTGAAGTTGAAACTTCCATCTACTTTCAGCATTTAAGCAGTAAGAGTTGTCATGCATTCGTACCAGAATACAGATAATTCACTATATTTAGTACCCCACAGTCTCAGCCACACTGACTATGAAAGCAACACATTAATCAAATGTGGCATCCTGAGCTATATAAAAGAGCGTAATGATTCTACAAAGGATACCTTACAAATCAAATTTCAGGTTGGAAGTCTTCAATACCAGCAAGGCCCCTCCCAACTAACAGAAATAAAATTATCTGGTACAAGATGAATTCTGGGTACCCAGTCAGGCATCTGAGATCTTATTCCTATCCAGTTACTAGCTTGCAATGGAAAATGAACAACTCATTTGACTTTTTTTCCACTCTGTACTTTATGTAAGTTTTACCTACAAAATATTTCTAGCAAATATTATTTCTATCTACTTTAGAAAAAAAAATCAGCTGCAATAAAAATGGTTTATGTGATAAATATTAACAGATTTCTGATAAAGGATATGAAGGGAAACTCCAGACCCAAACTTTATGGCTTATTTCCATCTTTGATACCATATATATTGTAGGATAAAAAAATCTAATACAATTTTTCATCCTGCATACTTTCTTTTATATTTTTATTCTTGTGCTTATAAAACTGATGTTATATAACAAACAGTGGCCATATAGTCCAAATAATTTCCTCTGTCTGACATTTTAGTATGTGATGTTGTTTAGTGAAGACCAGAAGGAAGTATAAGGCATCAAACCGTAACACCAGAATAGGATTTTGTGTATTTTAGCTTTATCTGTGAACAGTCTCCTAGTAGCCCCATTTATTGAGTTGACTGTGTGCAAAAGTCTGCTGGAAGAAAAGCTAGGCAAAGGCGTCTGTTGAAATAAGTGGAAAACCAGTACTTTGCTATTTCATTCCCATGGATAAGAAAAAAAAAATTGGTTTTAAAAGTGGGACCAGATTCTAACACCTTGTTAGTTTCATGGCCAGTTGTGATTCTGCATTCACCTCAAAATCTGAAATTTCAGAGACAGGAACATAATTTTAACCGCATTATATAGTTTTCCATACTTAAATAAATAAGTGATCTTCAATATGTTGCTTTAATGTAAACACGATCCCAGACATATCAGGAGATCTGGAGCAGTAGGTGCTTTCTCTCCTCCCTCAGAAACTGTTTCTGTAGGCTCTAGAAGGTGAATCTTGGAGTTCCATATAGTAGTAGTAGTTGTCATTCTGTAATATGTGAGTATAAACCATTTTGTCTGGACTCTCTTTAACTCTTGTGCTCTTCAGGTCAACCCTGAAGCATCACCAGTGGAACAGGGAATAACCTCGATAAGCACATGGACTTGGGTTTCATACACTACCTTACCTTGTGTCCCTTCAGGACACAAGCAATGCTTCCTGCCTTAAGAAACCCACCTCAAACTATGACCCATTCAGGCATGGAAACCTCCAATTTCCAGGATAGGAAGTGGGGAGTTAATTATGTGTGGCTTTTGGTAGCCATTAGCAAAAAATCATAAATAGTAACACTTGTCCTGGAATTAGCACTCTATCAAATGTGTGATAGTTTTTAAATTTTCCTGGTCTATATGCAATTGTTAATTAAGTACAGGGTTTAAATGATTAATTTTTCTGCTAAGCATGCATTTTAAGCTGCTATGTCAGAGAGGGAACAGATAAAAGAAACTCATCTAAGGTTTCCAAATAAGCCTGCTGACATGAGTACTTCAAAGCTAGCAAAGCTTGACCAAAATGTCCATCTCTGTGGGACAATTTCTTGGTCAGTACAGTTTATCTCATGTATTTGTTATGTGTAATTTCTCTGCATCTTGAAGGCAGTACTAGATTCTTCTGGCAAATGAAAACTGGCAACACATTCAGAACAAATTGGAACAAATTAATCCTAAACATTGCTCATCCTAGGAGGAATGTTTATTATGCCTTGTATCTTTCAGTTCTGTATGAGGTGACTTTCAGAGCATCATATGAATAGGGAGCCTAGTGCATCTGCTTTGAAGAAATAGAAAGGCTAATTGCCCATTCCTAAACACCATTAATATACATAGCTAAATAAAAGAAACCAGCTTTCTTTCCAGCTTTTATTTACCAAAGTTATGTTTGTGCTTGTGTTGTTTGTTTTGGGAACATGTTTTGCATTAGGCCTTCACAGCTGTGATGAAAGAATGGAAAGTGTTAGTGAAAAATTCTGTATTACTGTGTTTTAAACAGCAAAAATTTCAGGGTAGTGCCTGTTTAGCAGTAAATTTCATTAGAAAAACTGGTTCTGATTATGCTAAGGCCATTATGATAATGATATAAATACAAATGCCAGTCACACAAGCAGAAAGGGGTTGTCAACCCAAGTCAGTTTTATGTCCTGGTGGTATCCCATGCTAACAGCAATCACTGGATCACTCCAAGGGCAGAATAAACTACCAGGAAAATAGTTTTATTAATTAGAGTATCAAAACTCAAAACTTTTCACGGTCTTTGTTTGCAACAACTCTTTATAACTTCTGATACTGTTGTTATTTATGTAAAGAGACAGACCCCTTTTAAATGTTGCTGGGTTTTGGCTCTAATCACTTGAAAGCGATCCTCCCAGACTAATTATATGTATTTTTGTTGTTATTGTTTTTTATTGGTGTTTGGTTTTTTTTAATGAACTGCCATGCAGCGCTACTCCTGAAAACTTGTATTGAGGAGAACCATAGACCACTCCTATTTGTCTTGAGGGCCAAACTACCAGGGAACAAAGATTTATTATCTATTGGCTGCTTTGGATACAGAGATTATGGAAATACAGATAGAGAGGCACTGCAATATGGACTTTGCCCTCTTGCTTGGAGTCCAACTCTTATTTGTTGCAGTCTGTTGATTCTGCAGCACTGCTGGCATTTGTCATCTAGCATAGTGATTGATAATAACTCAAATACATTTCATCCAGGTATTAATAAGTGTCCATATTGATTCAAACAAACTCAAACAGAGTAATAATAAATTAGAATTAGATATCTGAATTAGATATCCAAAATTAATGTGCATTTATTTCCTGTACTGGTATATAGTTTCAAATTTTAAAAGAAATTCTAAATTCTCTTATTCACTTGTTTACCCGTGTTGATCTAAAAATATACTGTGTTTTCTGGAATTGTACTTTACATATTGATGAGTAACACAGTAACAATGATATCATGTTGCTCTGTCTAGGCTTTGCAAGAAGATAATTCTGATTCTTTTTTCAATCAGCTTCCAAATTCACTATCACTTTCTTTTAAGTTAGGCTGCATGTAGCAGAAGATAAGCATGTGCTAAAGATTTGCAAACTATTTTTGCTCATAGTAGATATGTAATCTATCCTTTAAACTGCTTATAAACTCTCCATGTTTGTCTGTGGCTTCTGTTTATGAAAAAACACGAAGCAGAGAATAGGTTGTGTACAGCAGAGTGCTGAGCTAGTTATGGGGTCCCAAGGTTACTGAAGCTAAGCTAAAGGGACAAAATTTGAGATCATCACCCTTACTTCTAGGAAATATTGTGTAAACTTCTGAATAGAGTGGAGGTTTTCTACCATTAAGTGAGGGGTTTGTGTTCAGTAGCAGAAGAAAGTCAGCATTAACATTTTCCTAACAGTATAAAAGTATAAAAGTGCCTGAGATTTAAAAAAAAACCAAACAAACCAAAACCAAAACCATCAATAGGACTAAACAAAGAAAAGCACACATAAAACCAAAAAATAAAAATAAAATTTAAAAAAAAAAAAAAGGAACTAACTTGAGAGAGTTAATCCCAGCATTGTTCATCTGGTTCATACTGTCTGTGTCACTTATTGGAACATATTTTTCTCTCCTTTTCAAACACCTCCCTTTCTTTCTTCACCTGATAACTGCCTTTTGGTAATGCAAGTGAACCACAAATATGAAATAGCTTTTCTGCTAGCTCAGCCTGCTAAATTAACTGAAGTGATTCACTTGTTTGGTTGTTTGGCCATTGCCACTGCATTTTGCCAAGTGAAAACAATAGATCTGCACAAATGACTCATAGCTTTATTGTTAGTTGACTTGGTTCATAAATAAATTAGATTTTTTTCATTAAGGAGTAATATATTCTAATTTTGATCACACATATTAGTGGTTTACAAATCAAACATCAAATGGTTTCTGTTTGTCAGACAATGATGGAATAGATGCATGTTATTCCTGTTAGTTTGAAGTTAAATAAGAGAACAAGGAACTGTCAATAACATTTCTGACTGACATTAAAAACAGGAAACATCAAATACTTCATATTTGGAAAAATATTGGTTTAAGTTTCATTTGTATACAACTTTGATACCAAAATATTGGCTATTGTTGCTGCTTCACAACTGAATTTAGAATGTAGTCCCAGCAAGTGTTTGTGACCTTTATTTTCAGGCCACATTCAGAGTCATCTGTCTCCAGGGCTTTGATTCCCAGAGATTCTGAAGTTTTTCACATCTAACACTGATAAAAGTTCCTTTAAACTTTCTGAGTGAAAATTACAGTGATGCAGTTATGTAGGCTGGGGGTTGCTTCTTTACCAAAGAGATGCTAACATGATTACTCTAATTATTGTGTAATGGTATAAATGCAGCCTGCTCTATCCTGGCTGTATTAAATAAGCCAGATTAGGCTTTTTTAAACATTTATTAAATGTTTCTATAGTGGTCAAAATTATCAGTTTAAATACTGTGGAGTTTTTTGACTTT